AGTCTATTGAAGGTACATTCATTGCCCCCAAAATTGCTTAAACCTACAAAATGTAAAGCCAGATTGAACTGAATATGGCTGCTTAGCAATCTCAAAATCCTTTTGGAAACAGTTGGGGTACACATTAGGATTCTTCAGAGAAACAGAACTACTAGGGGGGTGGAGAGAAGAGGAGAGAGCGAGAGAGACTGCACACCTGGCTTTTTCATGTTCTTGTATTTGCTCCCCAGTCTGTCCTCAGCGCTGACCATCAAAATTCTACTTCCTGACAAAGCAGTTCAAATACCAAATCCATTCAAAATCTTCTACAAATTTTGAAATTTAAAATCACATGTTATTCCTCTGTGTTTCCCAGAAGAATAGGTTTCTTAATGATTCTAAAAAACAAAAACAAAAAACATTCTCCCTTGTACATAGACCTTTTAAAATGCATTCTTCTGGATGTAAGCATCCTGAGGACCGGGACCGTCCCTACATCTTCACAGCACAGGCACTCACATATTCAATTCATTGCAGAGCTAGAGAAATAGGGAATTAGAACAATTTCTCAAGGTCACCCCACAGGACAAGAATACTTAGAGATAAGGCAAAGTCTTGTTGTAATTATCTGGCCCCCACCTACTCCTGCACTCTGCCATCTGAGGTCACCTCATCCCCACCTGGACATCCAGGCTGCCCTGATTCCGGCCTTAGCTGAATGAATATAAGGGGTGCAAAATCAATGTATTAGCTCAGCCTGAGTTCAGCTAACTTTGCTCTTGCCTTGGACTTGTAAGTTCAGACCTTGAAGGGCTAGATTTTCTGCCCTTCAGCCCATGCCCTCATAGCCAAGGTGAAACAATTATGAGCTTATGAGAGTTTCACAAGACTCTTGTGAATGAAGCTGTGGGCTCAGGAGTAAAAAGATCTGGATGTGAGTTCTAAATGTTACTCCCACCAGCTAAGGAACTTAGTTAATTATGCAACTTCCCCTAGCATCTATTTCCCCACCTGCAAAGTAAGAATTATTAATACAATGCAGCTCGTAAGGTTTAGTGAGGAAGACATGAGATGTCTTTACAACATTGCTACAGATCTCAGTTATTCTTGAGATCAGGTCCCCCATGGACTTCTCACTCCAGCCCTTCTGCCCCAGAAACACTTTAAATGAGGGGCCTGGTCCCAATACACCAGCCTTTCAACTAGGGCCAGATTAAGATCTTTATATAAACTAATGTAAGTGTAAGGAATTATAACACAACATTCTTGTATTTCCTAGGACAATAGCTTTGAAGCTATTTTTGAAGTAGAACGTTCTTTCAATAGGTTGCTCATGCATGGCCCCAGCTTTGCTGCCCTGAGCACATTGTGGGATCAGCCTAGTGGTGAGTCAGCATGGCCCCACTCTGGCTTTCATGACCTGAGGCCTGGCTTTCTCCTGACTAGATCAGCTGAAGCCCCCATCCCTGACCACTGTGATCTGACTCACTTGTTCTAGAAATGATGAGGTAGGAGAAAAGATCAGCAAATGGCACAGTTTAGATGGGAAGAGAGTTCTTATAGATGGGAAGAGTTCTTACCTTGACATCAGTCATTTGAGACAGGGCAAGCCAGTCAGGTGAGATGAGAGCAGATGGCTCATACTTGGAGTGACTCTGGTTGAGTGAGGCAGAACTGTTTTCTCTAGGTGAGATCTGAGAGTTTGATATGCATCTTCTGTGCCAGAAGGCACGACCAGCTATTCCAATTCAGAAAAGTTATGCTGTGCTACTTACCTTTCCTTTCCTCTCCTGCCTCCTTTCTCATGACTGGAGCATTTTAGCAGATGAGAACACTGGATCCTCCATGTACCTGGCCTTACTGCCTTTATAGAGCTCCACCAATCCCTTCACTCTTACGGCCTTAACTCCTCTTACCCTTTGATATGGTTTGGCTCTGTGTCTCCACCTAATTTTCACCTTGAATTGTAATAATCCCCATTGTCAAAGGTAGGACCAGGTGGAGATAATTGAGTCATGAATCCTGTGCTATTCTTGTGATAGTGAGTTCTCACAAGATACGATGGTTTTATAAGGGGCTTTCCCCCTTTGCTTGACACTCATTCTCTCTCCTGCCACCCTGTGAGGACGTGCCTTCTGCCATGGTTGTAAGTTTCCTGAGGCCTCCAAAGCCATGTGGAATTGTGAGTCAATTAAACCTCTTTCCCTTATAAATTACCCAGTCTCAGGTATGCCCTTATAGCAGCATGAGAACAGATTAATACACCCATTTACCAGTCTGAAAGAGCTTTCAGATAACCTTGCCTCAAGGTAAAGCTAACCTTTATAACTTAAGCTTCAGTTCCTCCTCCAGGAATCCTGTTATGATTCCTTAATATGGAGTGAGGGATTCTGTCTCTACCTCTCTTATCACTTTTTGCATATTTCTGATGTAACATTTATTATGATGCACCATAATTGCTGCAATAAAATAAATAATAAATAATAAATGTGTATTTATTTGCATGCCTAATTAAACTAGGAACTTTTTCATTAACGTAAAAAATTAAATTACACTGAAGGATGGAACTATCACCCCAGAGTAGACTCAGAGGACATCAGAAATTCTAAGACACCAAAGAGATCAAATTGATGGGTGACAATACAGATATATACAAACAAGCTCTTCCAAATACTTCCATATCACTTAGGTGCTTGCCAATACTGGAGAAAGGGAAATCCATATTATCTGTGGGTTTTGACTACATGTGGGTAGGGGTTCATCAGCTTGGCAAAGTGCCAAATGCTAAAAGAAGTCAGCCCATGGACTATGACTTGGAAATAAATTATGTAGATAGTCATTGCTTTCTTATTTTCTTTTCACTTGCTTGCCATGCTGTGATTTAGCATTTATGAGCTCTGCAGTGAATCACAGTATTTTTAAGAAAATAGAAGATCCTTTCCTCTTTACTCTAAGGTTACACAGAAATTTGTTATGCAATAAAAACAACATCAAAGTTCTCTGAAAATATTCCCTTGGAACATACCTTCTAGGGCTCTCCAAAAGCTCCAAAGAAGGGTTTCAAAATGTTTCTTTTAAAGAATAACTTGAGTCTAGCACTTCTCAGAGGAAATGCCAGCCTCAATTTTTCTTGGCTCAACTTCATTTCAAAAATAGTACACTCTGTTCTTCCTCCCTAATCCCAGGAATAAAAGGAGTCACAGCAAAGCAGCTGCATTTCATAGATAATAAAGGTAACCGCAAAAGTAATGATATTGAAGACAAAAGTACATTAGAGAGAATTGACAAAACCAGAGACTCATTATTTAAAAAATGCTAATAACTAAAACTTTGAAAACACTGATGAATGAGAGGAGAGAGAGAGAGAGCAGGTAAATAGTAGAAATAAAAAATGGCTTTAACTGCAGATATAGAAAGAATAGTAAAAATAAGAAAATAATTTGAACAAATTTTTTTCCAGTAAATTAGAAAAGTTAGATAAAATAAACCATTTTCTAGGTAACATGTTAGCAAAAATGATTCAAAGAAAAAAATCACAGAACAAAATAGACTTAAAAATATTAAAGATAATCTATAAGGAATTTTTAAAACTCTGCCCATGGGTTCGGGGAAGAGTGCTGAAATAATTTTACAAGTGAGATCTACCAACTGTTAATGGAGCAGATTCCTGTCATGTAGGAATTATACCTTAGATTCTTATGCTGGAATGTCATAGATATGTGTTTCTCACCTTCATTGGGCCTCATCTTCCATCTATCAAGGTATAAGTTTATCCATGTATAAGGCTGGCTTATACATTCTTTCCTAGAAATGTGTTCTAGATCTTCTCTAGGACAAGGAAGGACCTTGTACCCTATGGTGGAACACCTAGATCCTAGAAAAGACCAGGTTTGAGTTTTTTTTTTCCCTCTGTTAAAAAACTAACATACAAACAAACAAAAAAGGAGAAACAGGAGAAAAAAAAACCCAAAACCTGGTCTGTTCTAAGATCCGTGTGTTTCCTTAAAGTCTTAGTTTGATTATGTCACAGGTAGTATGAGTGACTTCATTTTGGTTTGGTCCAGTCTATTGGGGCCTTGTGCATGAGTTCAGTCGAAAACAATAGCCTCCCATAATTTTGTTAAAAAATTCCCCCTTTTTGGTCAGGTTCTCACTTAGGTGAGAGTGTGACCAAAACTTAAGGTTTTTGTGTCACTCTTAGTTATCATCATTTTGGGTTTCTGGTCTCAGCATGTCATTCATAGGTTACAGTGCCCTCATGGTCACACATTTCTTTCAGCTCTTGTCATTCCAGTTGGAGAGACTATTTGACATTCTAGAGATGGCTGAATGCAAACATTTAAATCTTTTGAGAGAATACAGCATACCAAGGAGACTAATATTATGAATATTAGGAGCATAACACCAAGAGTTATCCAAGATCCCCATAAACCAAACCATCTAAAATTAAATGATAAAAGAATAAGCTAGATAAACATTCTGCCTGCTTAACTAAGCCGTCTCTTCATTAATCCCCTACAACTGCATCTCTTTAATACCTGGTGTAATGTATTTCTCCATAGCCCCAAGTGCCAGCAGCTGCACAGACACTTCTCTGTTTAGCCAGTAAGTACTCTAGAGCAATTCTATTATTTAGCATAACTCTCACAAGATAATTTAAAGTCTGCTTTGCAACCATAGCCTTTACGGTAGAATCTGCCATAGAGCTTATCATGAGGGATACATTTCTAATCATTGTCTCTTTTGCTCCAAACAATGGGGGAAAAGGACCAGATAAATAATGCCCTTCTAGAAGAGTGAAGGCCTCCTGGCAATGTTCTCTTTAACCCATGATGTGGGTTAAGAAGAGTGAACCAATGTGTTGTTTCTGACTGATTATGAGGCCACATATGTGTCTTTAAAATTTCTCGCCTTCATTGGGCCTCATCTTCCATCTATCAAAGTATAAGCTCATTCATGTATAAAAGCTGGCTTCAAAATCCTTCACAAATAAAGTATACACAATGAGTGCACACAACAGACCCCCTTTTCACTTCTATTGTTCACAGAGGCATAAGCAAGAGAAAAATATTCAAAGATAAGAGTCTCATGATAGTAGAGAAGTCTTGATCCATGATCTTGGGATAAAGCTGTTCATATCAAGGATGCAATCTTCTTCTGGGGAGAAACTTCCCTGGTTAGCTTTACCTTAAGGGTTCCAATGGATGTAGTTCCAAGAGTGTGGATGAACCCTTCTCAGTTGTGAAACTATGAGCCCAAGATTCAACGTCCTGAAGTTTTGCTGCAGTGTGGATGCCAAGGGCAGTCTTTCTCTGATGTTCTCAGAAGATCTGATCTTCAGGTTCTAAATTATGAAGGGGTTGATGGTCCTCAGTAAGTGAACCATGAAATGCTTTCTTTACCTGGTGAAAATACATGGTGGTATAATAATCTACTGTTATAATGTCATCCCTCTTGCATGGGAAAGCTTTTATACAACCAGAAAACATGCATTGAAAATGACAACTGAATAAAATCCCTCTATAAATGTCTGAATGGCCCATCAAGTTGCCAAATGTACCTAAAGCTTTGTCTTCCAGGGAATATGGGTTTAACAAACCCAACATTGGTCATAAACTATTTTAGCAATTTAGAAATCACCACACCAATATATATTTAATTTGGATCATTTTATCTTTTCCATGATGAGTCACAACATGCAGAACTTTTAGTAACAAAAGTTTTGAGGACTTGGAAAGCACAAGGCAGCCCTCCTGGTTCTCCATGGGTCCATGCTTAATGTTGGACTTATGTTCTCTTGAATACCAGTTGTTTATCCAATTTAGGTGCATAGCACTGAGAACTAATGGGTTATCATAGGTAACTTAATTTAGACCATGGAGTTCATTCAAATTGTATATCTAAACAATTTCAGTATTGGTTGATTGAGCATGACAATCTGGCAAAGTATTTTCTTAGTATTCAATTAATTTTTGTTCTACTTGGATTAGTAGTTTTATAAACCAGTCAGTCTTTTCATTAAAGTTCTAGGAATTCTTACCTGTATTCAAGAGTGCTTTTCAGGGTCCTTTCCATCCTTTCATAAACTTCCTAAAAGATATTATATTCTAGGATTTTGAGTGCTTGCGAAGTTTTCAGAAGCTGCATCAGAATTAAGCAATTAACTGTGGAAATGACTTTAAACAGGCATAAAGACACAATTGACATGGAATTTGGTTATTTCTGTGATCTGCAATAACTGACATAATATCTGATATGGTTTGACTCTGTGTCTCCACCGTAATCTCATCTTGAATTGTACTCCGATAATTCCCATGTGTTGTGGGAGGGTACCAGTGGGAGATAATTGAGTCATGGGGGTGGTTTCCCCCATACTATTGTCATGGTAGTGAATACGTCTCACAAGATCTGATGGTTTTATCTGGGGTTTCTGCTTTTGCATCTTCCTCATTCTCTGTTTGCCTGCTGCCATCCATGTAAGACAGGACTTGCTCCTTCTTGCCTTCCACCATGATTGTGAGGCATCCCCAAGCCATGTGGAGCTGTAAGTCCAGTGAAACCTCTTTCTTTTGTAAATTGCTCAGTCTCAGGTATGTCTTTATCAGCAGCATGAAAATGGACTAATACAATAACTGTAATTATGATTGATAGTATATATTTAGCCACATTAGAATTTTAGGAATCCCATACAATTTTGGAACATATATTAACATTCACTAAAATATAACCTGAAGAAAATTAAGCATTATTTTTTATTTTGACAATACTTCCCACGTAACTTAACATGTCAAATAATCCTGTTTATCTCTCTTTTGGATGCTTCAGGGGCCCTCTATAGCATCCCAAAGTTAGAGGTTAGAAAAGACAATTTTGAAGCTGAAATTTGATTTTGGGAAACCTGTCAAATATGTTAAAGATTTCAAACACTTGATATTATAAAACAGAATTCCAGGTCACCATAAGTCATTTATTTTGCCAAAATAATGACTCAAAAATTTCAAAAAGGCAATAACCTTTATTTATTGATAGAGGAACATTTAGCTTTCCAATCTGTCTCTTGTCTTTCCCTTCTTTTTCCTGTAGTTTATTTAAAAGGCAGGCAAAAATCTTTCATTATCCTTTAATATTAGATGAAAATCCTGTTCAAGAGAGAAAGCCAAATTTCACCTTTGCATTAGTGTACTATTAATATCAACCCCAATCTTCAATAAAACTTTACAGACAAATCTATCTAATCTTAATCAGTTTTTTTTTTTTTTACAATAGCTACAAAGAAAATTAAATACCTAGGAACTAATTTAACTAAACAAGTGAAATATTTCTGCAATAAAAATTATAAAACACAGGTGAAAGAAATTGAAGAGGACACACACAAAAATGGAGAGATTCCACATTAATAGATTGAAAGAATCAATTATATTTAAGTGTCCATACTACCCAAACCAATCTAGAGATTCAATGCAATCCTTATCGAAATACCAATGACATTCCTCACAAAAGAAAATAAACAATGCGGCGTTTGGTTTTCTGTTCTTGCGATAGTTTGCTGAGAATGATGGTTTCCAGCTGCATCCATGTCCCTACAAAGGACACAAACTCATCCTTTTTTTATGACTGCATAGTATCCCATGGTGTATATGTGCCACATTTTCTTAATCCAGTCTGTCACTGATGGACATTAGGGTTGATTCCAAGTCTTTGCTATTGTGAATAGTGCCGCAATAAACATACGTGTGCATGTGTCTTTATAGCAGCATGATTTATAATCCTTTGGGTATATGCCCAGTAATGGGATTGCTGGGTCATATGGTACTTCTAGTTCTAGATCCTTGAGGAATCGCCATACTGTTTTCCATAATGGTTGAACTAGTTTACAATCCCACCAACAGTGTGAAAGTGTTCCTATTTCTCCACATCCTCTCCAGCACCTGTTGTTTCCTGACTTTTTAATGATTACCATTCTAACTGGTGTGAGATGGTATCTCATTGTGGTTTTGATTTGCATTTCTCTGATGGTCAGTGATGACGAGCATTTTTTCATGTGTCTGTTGGCTGTATGAATATCTTCTTTTGAGAAATGTCTATTCATATCCTTTGCCCACTTTTTGATGGGATTGTTTGTTTTTTTTCTTGTAAATTTGTTTGAGTTCTTTGTAGGTTCTGGATATTAGCCCTTTGTCAGATGAGTAGATTGCAAAAATTTTCTCCCATTCTGTAGGGAGTTATACTTGATGTAAATGATGAGTTGATGGGTGCTGACGAGTTGATGGGTGCAGCACACCAACATGGCACAAGTATACATATGTAACAAACCTGCACGTTATGCACATGTACCCTAGAACTTAAAGTATAATAATAATAACAATAATAATAATAAAAATTAAAAAGAAAAAAAAAAAGAAAATTTGCTAACAAAATAATCTCTGTATGGGATATGCATTCTGCATTCATCAATATGATGATTCAGCATATTTTCAAAGAGACAAACAGAAAGTGATATTCGTATTGCTAGCTGTTATTTTTTACTTTTTAATGTAAACATACAGTTTTTAAATTTTAAGAAATAAAATGTAATACAAAACTACAAAAAAAAGAAAATATGATGATGATGATGATGAAATTGTATTAATAAACATAGGACAGAAAAAAAAAAGAAGAAAATAAACAATCTGAACATTTTTAAGGAACCACAAAAGATCCAGGATAGTCAAAGCTATTCTGAGCAAAAATAACAAAACTATAGGAATCACATTACCGCTTCAAATCATACTACAGAGCTATAGTAACCAAAACAGCATGGTACTGCTATAAAAACAGACACATAAACCAATGAAACAGAATAGATAATGCTGAAACAAATCTATACATCTTCAGTGAACTCATTTTTGACAAAGGCTCCAAAAACATACATTGGGGAAAGGACAGTCTCAATAAATGGTGCTGGGGAAACTAGATATCCATATGTGGAAGAATGAAAGTAAACACTTATCTCTTGCCATATACAAAAATAAAATGGATTAAAGATCTAAATATAAAACCTTATACAAAGAAACTCCTACAAGAAAACACTGGAGAAAATCTCCAGGACATTGATCTAGAGAAAAATTTTCTTAAGTAATGCCCGCAAGCACAGACAACAAAAGCAAAAATGGATAAATGGAATCACATCAAGTTAAAAAAGCTTCTGCAGAGTGATGGAAACAATAAAGAGACAACCCACACAATGGGAGAAAATATTCGCAAATTGCCCATTTGACAAGGGAGTAAAAACCAGAATATATAACAAGCACAAACAACTCAATAGAAAAAGAATCTAATAATAGGCAAAATACTTGAATAGACGTTTTTCAAAAGACAACATGCTAATAGCAAACAGTTATATGAAATGGTGCTCAACATCACTGGTCATCAGAGAAATGCAAATCAAAGCTGCAGTGAGGTATCACCTCACCTCAGTTAAAATGGCTTTTATCCAAAAGATAGATGATAACAAATGCTATTGAAGACATGGAGAAAAGGGAACCCTTGTACATTGGGAATGTAAATTACTACATTGGTAATTGGTGGGAATGTAAATTACTACAACCACTAGAAAATAGTTTAAAGGTTCCTCACACAACTAAAAATAGAGCTATCATATGATCCAACAATCCCACTGTTGGGTAATACCCCAAAGAAATGAAATCAGGATATTAAAGAGATATCTGCACTCCCATGTTTATTAAAGCACTATTTTCAATAGCTAAGATTTGGAACCAACCTAAGTGTCCGTCAGCAGACAAATGGACAAAGAAAATGTGGTACATGTACATGATGGAGTATATTCAGCCATAAGAAAAGAAGACTCTGTCATTTGCAACAACGTAGATGGAACTGGAGGTTATTACATTAAGTGAAATAAGCTAGACACAGAAAGACAAACTTTGCACGTTCTCACTTATTTGTGAGAGCTAAAAATTAAAACAATTGACTCCTGGAGATAGAGAGAAGGATGGTTACCATAGGTTGGGAAGGGTAGTGAGAAGATTGGAAGGAAGTGAGGATGGTTGATGGATACAAAAGAAGTAGAAAAAAATGAATAAGACCTAGTGTTTTATAATACAACAGGGTTACTACAGTCAATAATAATTGTACATTTAAAAATAAGAGTGTAATGAAATTGTTTGTAACACAAAGGATAAATGCTGGAAGTGACAGGTATTCCATTTACCCTGAGGGGATGATTACATATTGTATGCCTGTATCAAAATATTCCATATATCCCATAAATATGTATACCTACTATGTACCCATAAAAATTAAAAATTAGAAAAAGAAAAGCACTATAGAAACATGAGCCATTATTATTGGCCAAGAGAACAAAAAATAGAATATTTAGATGTGACCACACCTCCAAGAATGTTGCTCTACATCTCACAGAACACCTCTTGCGCAAATGTAAGGCCTTCCTCTGCAGCCCAAGCTTGTATGTTGGGGCTTGAGGGAACTGGTAGTTATCTGAGAGAGTCATTCTGGCACAATAGGACAGAGCTCCAGGGTTTCATTACTGAGTGCACAGGTGGCACTTTCTCATAGTACTTTTGAATCTGTACTCTTCCTGAAACTACCTTGAGTGCAGGAAACCCTGTCTTTGGTTTCCTTTGCCATTTCCTAACTAGTGGAGGGAGAGCGTACTTTCTTCTAATGGTTTATTGTGCAGAATTTCCACCTCAGTTTAGAATAATAAATTCAATATTTTAAAATATGACAAGTATGTATATTTAAAAATACCACAAAATATATGAAATGTAACAAAATCTAGATGTTGTGTAATGATTTTCTGTGATTTTTTTCCTCAAGTAGGTGGCTATTCTGAGAATTGCCTGTGACAATTCTTGTATAAATAAAATAACTTGCTCAGAATGTGGAAACCCTCAGCATAACAAACACTTGGATGTATTTTACTAAAAATTTCAGGCTTTTCCTTTACACATGTTTAAAGAGTAACTGCAGAGTACAAATAACTGCTTTTCTCAGCATGTTTTAAATGAGGAAATAGAATTGTAATGCAGCATTCTCTCTCTCTCTCCAATTTCATCTCCCTCTGCTTTTCTTGCTTATTTTAAGGACACTACAATAAAAACAGTCCCCTTGCTGTTCCAATCACCATGGCCTAAGAGGGCTAATCAGAAAATCCCGTGTCAGAACATAAACTCTGAATTTGAAAAAGAAAGTTGCCAACACATTTTTAGCTTTACTTCCAAGTTCCCAGTTGATATAAAGATGTGAAAGAAAAATAACTTGGGACCCCAATTCATTATGCCAAAAAGAACAAATGAAGCT